TTGCTATTTTAGTATTCGGTTGATTTCAGGTTGTTCTGACATATTACTATGTTTAGCTGCAAAGTGTCCCATTTTTGTTTGAAATGCAGCCTAATAATTAAACTATATAGGGCATGTGCCCCCAGTGTAAACCATTAGAAGCCACTATGGAATTCCATAGAAAGAAATAATGTAGATGTAAAACCAATCACTATAACCTCATAAAATCTTTAACTTGTTAACCCCCTTAGCATTACGTTTTCCCCCTGGAAAACATATTTTTTTAAACACCAATGTGAAATGCACTTTTTAGGCCTAAAAATATTATATATTTGCTGAAAACATTGAATGTGTCAAATAAAAAGATGGTAGTTCCAGTTTTTTTATGTCACACAATTTTTTAAACCTATATTTACAGGTTTACACAAAATCTATGTTTAGTGCACACAAACACAATATAATTCATATTTTCTTTTTACAATTTAAAAGACGAGGCAACATCAAGTAAAAAGGTAACAGATATTTCAAGCCTTAAAATTGCATGCAACAAAGGCAATACATTAAAAACCTTTTCAGCTCATCAATTTAGAGTTAACTGTAAATTAGGGATGCACCGAAATTTCGTCCGCCTAAACATATGTTTTTAAAGAGAGCAAATGTAATGAGCTACTCATATGGACCTCTAGATCAAAACACAATTAATATGGTGAAGGAAGCAACTGTTTAAAACATTGAGTAAAGCTAGTCATACAGGGCTGAAATTTCAAGCCAATTCCTTCTGAATCTGCTGAAATTCGAGCATCAAAATTCGAGAGTCCTAACATCACCACCCCTCAACCACTCATAGAACGTGTTGTATTTATTGATAAAGATAAAAATACTAGGTGTTCTCTGAATGGCTGCTGTGCTAAGAGAGCGACCATCCTCCCTTGTGTTTTCAGAGTACAGGAGAAGCCGCTCAGCGACATAAAGAACCTAGAAGAGGACTGAAATAGTTCCTGGGAAACCATGATTGAGAAAGGCATTGCTAAAGACTACCATTGCTCATTTCTTATGTAAATGCTACTTCACTGGCTGTCATAATGACTCTAAGGGGTTGATTTACTAACCTTATAAACACGCCACAAACAAGTATACACCTCTGTAGTGTGTTCCCTCCCAGCATGATCTATTGGTGGAATCTAGACACCTTTGTAGTGTGTACACACCCAGCAGGTGTGTTGTGCAAAGCCAAGCATGAATTGCAAGGTGATGTTGTGTAAATTAGCTCTACATTGTGTTGCTTGCGTTGATGAATGCAGGAATGTAAATGCATGAGCTAACCATTTTTGTCTAAACTGTGAAGCAGCATTATATATGCATCATGTGCATGATTTTTCCATATATGGCATTAGTGGAAATATGCTTTTAGAGACTTTTTGGTTGATAAATACGCTTTGCTGTGTAAAAATCACACGCACCTAGTGCGTGCGTGTGTTTAGATTAGTAAATCACCCCCTAAGTCACTGATAAGTTCTGAGTCTAATATTCCTGATCTGCATAATTGTAGACAAAGTAACGGGATCCCTTTATAGAAGGCACTTTAAACTACCTTTACTTACCTTCCCTGTGCTACTGTGCTGCTCCGATCCGATGCCAGATCCCTGAGAAATACCCACTACATCTAGGTATAAGGGACCATGTAACACTCCCCCCAGTGGCGTAACAACAGCGGAGCAGCAGGGGCGCGGGCCCCGGGCAAAAAGTGAAGGGGGGGCGCCGGCCGAAAATGGCACTTTCGGCTAAATGCCGAAAGTGACATTTTCCTGCCGTTTTGTTGGCGCGGCCGTGATTCCTTTCATCCCCGCTGGGACACAGAGCAGTGCCCAGCAGGGATGAAAGGAATCAGAGAGAAAATGACAGTCGGCCGAGCGCTGCGGGACGAGCGCTGTGAGCGGCCGGTGTCTTTCCTCCCACACCGCTCGGCCGCCTATCACAGTGCAGCAGAGCGTGTGGGGGCGGAGACAGCCAGCGCTTTCACAGGAGGCTGGGCTCTCCTCTTGCAGCCTCCTATGACAGTGTGTGTCAGAGAGGAGAACGGGTACAAGCACTCAGCGATCAATTGAGGACCTGGTATGTGGACCTACCAGTGGTTGTTTATATAATGGGGGGGCGGAAAAAAAATTCTGCCTCCCCCACTTCCCCATAATGCTCAGCATAATCATAAAGGTAAGTATAGCCATAGGTGTCTCATTAGAGGCAAAACTGTTACTATGCAAAGAAAGGGCAAAGTTTGCTTTCAAAGAAACCTGTGAGATAAGGGGTGCTGACATCATTTTTAGGGTCAAGGTCTAAGGCTGTCCTCCTTATCCTAACTATACTAATTAGTGCATCATTGACCCATAACAAGCAAGTGCATATTAATTAAGTCCCTTGACACCTGATATACACATGCTTGTTCCAGGTCAGATATTTAGCAAGTATTGAAGGAGAACATGGACATCTGTTTCAGAACATACAGCTTGATAAACAAGCCAGCCATAGCAGCTTCCATATCCCTGTCCAGACATGTTTATTTTAGGAAACAATTCTGAGTAAAGCACCTTGCAGGATTTTCCATTAGATGTACTCTATTTCAAGAACATGGCAAGTAAACAATTGATAATTCCGGTAAATGGACACTGCACCAATATGAGTAGCTAGTCACATCTGCTATTATACTATCATAAAGCCTGTGATTAACTTGCATCCAGAAGGGTTGCCTGCAGTAGTTATCCCTCCAAAGAGGTCATTAGAACCCCAGGCAGAAGCCGCGAGACGTATCTTGTGAATACACATCAGTATATAGCGCTGCCTGCAGCACAATGAAATGAAAATTATTCTTACATTTCATGTGAATTCTCAGCGGGACTTTCAGGCATGTAACCTGTTAGACTGCATCAGCTTTGGTCTCCTGTTAGGCTCCACACAAAGACAAATAATGCGATTATACTGGAGCGTAATCTTCCATGATTAAAAACAGACTCACTAGAGATGTTCATTGTGTTGGCTTTCTTTATGAGCCCTAAACTTTTTTTTCTTTCTTTCCTTTCTCATGCTGCATAATTACTTTTCTTTATTCGGATATATGCTGCAAGTACTGATGTATCTTCATTTCTGTGCAGCTTTGAAATAAACAATGACGACTGATTAATAAAGTAAATTGGGGACAATTCAAAGTTGAATTGTGAAAGCAAACATGGACTGCTGACATTCTGGAACAAAACAGTTAACAATCAAACAAAGCCATCACAACAAATGCAATGTTTAACTCATAAAGATGACTTGTATTATTTTATTGATATAAGGGTGCTCTCAGGGTCCAATTTTGTTGTGTCTGCATTTTTGCATTTATTGGCAGTTTGTGTAATTACACTATCAAATGTGCAAACTATGTTACACAAACAGGTTTAAAAAAAACTCATGTTCCAAGGTATCTCTTTCAAGGAACCTAACATGAGAGACTCTCCTTTTGAAAATGAGGCCCAATGAGAGCACCAGAACAATGGTGAAAGATTCCAAAAGAGGTTATTTAAAGGAGAACTATGAAGTGAATGATTTTCACTCATCCTCATAGTTAGAGCCGACCTGTGACAAAGAAGCTGTCACAGGTCGGCTCTATCGATCAGGAAGTGAGCAGAAACATGCCGCCAATGCGCTCACTTCCTGATCATCTCCCTGCAGAGAGGGGTGCTGTCAGTCACTGCTCCCCACAGGGATTCCCCTCGCCGATCCTCCAGCGCTGAGTGGAGGAACAAACGGGGAGGGGACGGGCACAGCTGGCTCTGCCTCTAGATTGGCAGAGCCAGCGGTCACTCACGGAGCTGGGTGGATCATTACATTATTGTCGGGATCTGCCCCGGCTGCGGTGCTCTTAGTATATCACAGGCATTAGCCCGCTATATAGTGAGCTTTGGGTCACAGGAGGATGTCAGTTACCCCATAGTTCTCTTTTAAGGATTCATATTGAGGTGTTATTAAACAGCCAACACATTTCAGATGCTCTAACTCTGCCACTTCATCATGGCATAAATTCTGAGTAAACTCAAGAACAGTCTCATTTTGGGGTTATTATTAGAAGAGATAAGCAAGCTGACACTTGTCTGATGCACTTGACCAATGGCTAATTGGAGTGCATCTGGCTGTTAAATTACACCTCAATATGAATCAGTAAATAAATCAGTAAATAAACTATTTTGGAGTCCTTTACCATTGATTTGGCACTTTGACCTTTTGTTTGTGATCCTTATCCCAAGTTCCTAAGTTAGCGATGCTTTTATAATAGTAGCCTTACCCGAGCTATTGTGCTAATGGTTTGGTCCAACTTGTTATATTCTTAAGAAATTGAAAACAAATTCGAAGCACCTTTTATACTTTTCAGGCCCTATTTCTGCCATGAGAGGGTTACCCTTCCTCCAGTATTAGCTCAATCATTGTTAGTTATCATAAGTTATTGTAAAACAGCCATTAATTGCTTTTACAGAAATGTAATATAAAGTATATAGGGAATACTTGTTACAGTACAATGTAAAAAAAGTCTGTTCTCTCCCCATCTATTGGGAGAGGGAGAAGGCAACTTGAATGCCTGCCAACCTTTTTCTTTTCAAAAATGTTGATCACTTTAAGTATAAACAAAGTACATATCAATTCAAAACAGAAAAAGACATGTCATGCTAAAATTGTTTCTCCCAACATTAGAGGAATGAGTGAATTCCTTTTTTAACAATGCTCGCCAAGAGGAATTAGTACAATAGGGATCAGGTGATCAACATAGTCAAGCATCTACACAATGATTGCAAACATTTTTCATATCTACTTTTATAAGATCACATGACCAAGGACCACAGTGATCACAATGAAGGGAAATGGATTATGAGCCCATCGGGGAGAACATCATGGGGTCTGTTTATGTGATTTCAGACACATGTATGCATTCTGAGGTTACCTAAATCTTCTGTGGACAGTTAAGAATACAAGAATAAAATATCTTGTTTCCCCCTTAGAAATTCACCATGTGATGGGAGCAATGAAGAATACATCCTGGAAGTGGAACAATGTTTGTCTCCTGACCAACTAGTAGACCAAAAGCTGATACCTGACCTAGTGAAGAGGGCAAGTAACACTATCTTTTAATTCACTTATAATTGCATACATTGAATTTCATTCAGGACACAATTCCAGCAGCTTGTGTATTCTTTATAAATATAGCAAAATGTAACAGTGAGAACCTTGTTATAAAGTCACGCAGTTATGAATCATTCAGCATGACAAGACTACAGATGTAGACCATGACCATGAAAAGAAAAAAAAGCCATTTGTGAGTTGATCGTTATGAATTGTACCTTTCAGTGGTTATGGAAGGATTTATTCTCAGACTCTTAAAGTAGAGTTTTTAGTTTCGGATAGAGTATGGGAAAGTTATAACCGCTGTCAGTTTTTATTTTGCCATCTGTCCTATTACGGAGATTTCCCTTCACTTCCTGTCTGATAGCACCAACATGAAGTGAAAGGGAAACCTTCCAAAATATGGTATAAGTATAATATAAGGTATAAGTAATTCATATTTAAACCCAATAGCAAACAGGTTATACATTGCAGTTTACCAATCCTTAGGTTTGGTGACTGCCCTAGTTTTCTTTTTTTAGGCTAAGAACATTTTCTGCAAGTACAAAAAATATCTGTTCATCCTGCCAGAAAAACATTCTTGTACCTTCCTGTGAACTGATATCTTAAGCAATGTTATCACCTTTCCCTGCTATGTTTAATGAACACCGCCCACTATGGTAGTCCTAGCAGACTTTACTGTCCTAGGCCGACAACGCTTTCTCCGTAGATATGCAATACACGGAGGATGCGTCGTCACCCTAAGACAGTAATTGTGTTACTAACAGTATCAGCAGGTGAGAATAAAGGAAATAAAAGCCTGAAAAAAGAAAACTACCACATCTGAGGACTGGTAATCTGCATTATATTAAATTTTTGTTCTTGGGCTTAGATACACATCACTGTAAATATTACCTATGTGTGTTTTACACGCCAGTTTGTGTTTAAAGGTTATCTAGTCTTTAGGAAAATCCAGATATAATAGCGGTTATGATCATCCTAATATTAGTAATCTTTACGTGTGTTTAATAAAAACCTTGTGTATATTTTATTTTTATATAAAGTATATAAAAGGAGTCAGACATATTTTAGATGCACTTAAAGTATGCTTTTAAATATTTCAGAGGTTTTTAAATAAAGTGCAAGGTGGACAAAGAATATGTAATCATAGCTGCATGTGCCACCCAGTCAGTTTCATATCAAAGTGAATCTCCTTCTCCTGTGGAAGAAGCCCAGACTAATTTTCCAATATTACCTTTAAAATAATCAACTTCATACCTTCCAACAGCCCCAGTGTTTCGATCCTGAAATGAGAAGGGCATAACATGACTTCCCATATTACTGTAAAAGTGCCGGTGGAGCTTAGCCACATTGGTGTGAGGTGGTTGGGTTAAAGTACATCTGTCACAAGCTTGGCCAATTCATACTGAGCATATGATGTTAAATGCATAGGCAAATAAAACTGCACAGCAAAATGATCAGTAATTCCAGAGACATAGGCAGCTAAAGTTTTTGTATGTGCAAATGTTGGCTTTTGTCTGAAAAATTGAGCTTGACTCTCTCCCTTCCTGTTTCTAAAATGTGATAGCCAGGCTTTTACAGTCATTATCAATAAGGATACACCGATACAGAGTATTTGAACGAGTACTTGTACTCACCCAAATGCTCCCGATGTCTATCCCGATAACGGAACTTCCAGGACCAGGAAGCCTTCCTGATTGGCTGGACAGCCGGCTCCATGCTCCGTTGTCACCAGGGAGCATGGAACTGGCTTTCTGGTCAATTAGAAAGCCAGGGGGTGGGTAATGAATTGCCTCCCGGCTTCCAGATTGCCCAGAAAGCCAGCTCCATATTTCCTCGTCTTCTGGTGATGAGGGAGCGTGGAGACGGCTTCCCGGCTAATCAGGAAGATGGGCGGTGAGTCATTACACGGACCTCGGCTTCCTTAAATGGGACGTCTGGTATTGGTATTCGGTATCGGCGAGTACCGTAAAAAAATATTGGTATTCATACTCAAACCGGTATCGGTGCATGCCTATTACATAGTTACATACATAGTATTTGGGGTTGAATAAAGACATACGTCCATCAAGTCCAACCCATATAGGTCCACTCATTCCTAGGAATACTTGTATCCCTGAATATTATGGTCCCTCAGGAAATCGTCCAAACGTTTCTTGAACAATTCTACACTCTTAGCTGAAATCACTGCCCGTGGCAGTGAGTTCCAGACGCTAACCGCTCTTACTGTGAAGAACCTTCGCCCCTTGTGCTGGAATTTTTTCTCCACCAATATTAGGTGGTGGCCTCTAGTCTTTGTAATGGAGTTAATCTTAAAGAGTTTGTTGCCAATGTTGCTGTCACCATTGAACATCTTGTACAGGAAAATCATATCCCCCCTTAATCTCCTTACTTCCAACGTGAACATGTTTAAGTTCAGTAGCCTTGTCTCATAGCTCTGGTCCTCCATTCCCCTAATTAGTTTGGTTGCCCTCCGCTGGACTCTCTCCAGTTCAAGGACATCCCTTCTTAGTACCGGCGACCAAAACTGGGCCGCGTACTCCAGATGTGGCCGAACCAATGATCTATGCAATACATCCCCTTCTTAATGCAGAACAAGACCCTGCTAGCTTTGTTTACCGCAGCCTGGCACTGCAAGCTACCATTCAGTTTGTGGTCTACAATGACCCCCCCAAATCTTTTTCTATTTCTGACTTCCCTAGTGGCATACCCATGATGGTATAGCCCATTTGTTTATTTTTATTTCCAAAGTGCATTACTTTGCATTTATCGACATTAAACCTCATCTGCCATATTATTGCCTTTTAATAACCTCCCTATTTTTAGTAGCCTGCAAACACAGACACATGGCTATTCACTCCCTCCCTGATATCATTAATGAATAGGATTTGATCTTTTGTTTTTGTTACCCAAAGGTATACACTTTGAAATAGCAATATGTAATGTGTTCCTGAAACAGTCCCACATTTGGTCTGAGTTTAGGTTGTGAAATGAGTTTTCCCTTTTTATTTCCCCCACTAGGTTGTGCAGCTTATCGAAGTTGGCCCTTCTGAAATTTAGAGTTCTTTTCCGTCCAGCCCTCTTTCCTTTCCTGTATTCAATATTAAAAGTAATCACATTGTGATCACTATTACCCAGTGTCTCCACAATTGCAATATCCTCAATGAACTCCCCATTATTAGTAATTATTAAATCTAGGATGGCATTTTTCCTAGTTGGAACCTCCACCATCTGTTCCAAGAAATTGTCTGGCAACATGTTCAGAAATCGGCCTGCCTTTGTTGATCCTGAGGTACCATTAGCCCAATTGATGTCCGGGTAATTGAAGTCGCCCATCATGACTACATTGCCCTCCCTCCCAGCTATTTCTATTTGGGAGTGTAGATTTGCTTCCCCCTCCTCCCCTATATTCAGAGGTTTATAGCAAATACCCACAATAAGTTTACGGCTAGAGTCCGCCATATCGAGCTCCAGCCATAAGGTTTCCACGTCTTCTCCACTGTTTGACGTGATATCGTCCCTTATATGCATATTTAGATAGTTTTTAACGTAAATGCAACCACCCCCCCTCCCCCCTTCTCCCACATCTGAACAGGTTATACCACTCTATATTAGTAGCCCAATCATGTGTGCTGTCTAGCCAGGTTTCCGCTATACCCACTATATCGAAGTCCTCTTCGAGTATCATCATTTCAAGCTCTTCTAATTTATTTGCTAGACTTCTAGCGATAGTGTTAATACATTTATTCCTGTCTTGTTGTGGGACCAAAGTTTACATACTTCATGTTCCCCACTAGTTTTATTGTTTAGCCTTGACATAGGTTGTTCGTTTCTAATTTTATTCACTTCTGACAACGTATTTGCTACATTGACTGCTTCTACTATTTTAACTTTGTTGATTATTTTAACTTTGTTGACTGGAGTGAGCCCACTATCTACTCCTGTTACTTCTTTCTGTATTATTTTTAATTTTATCTACAATTAATTTATCTCCATTTGATTTAAGTAATTTTATTTTTATGCACTCCCCCCCATTCTTTAGTTTAAAAG